TTAGATGAAATATCATGTTCCCTCCTATTTGCAGTATAAGTGGGGAAATTGAGCCCAGAAGCCCAGGACACTATCGAACCAAGTTTCCTGAGCAGAGCTAGAGTTCGTGTTGCTCTTATAAAATGCATTCTCATTACTGCTTCCTGTTTTCAAACAGGATTGAAAGTAGAACTAGTGTAATATCACAAGGTATTCCTGCTCTTCTGTTAGTACATGTAAAATCAGGAAGTCTAGAGAAATAATGAAGCCAGTCTCAAGTGATTTACATTTCAATTTCTAACTCAGGGATATTTATTTGGAGAATTTAGTAAAATCAATGGATATCTCAAACACATGCAAAATGATCCAGTTCTTCAATATTTTCATTAGTCATTCACCAGTGCTCTGTGTGCCTCCTGTAAGAACATAAATGCACAAGGCATCAATGTTTCCTCTAACAAAATTTAATAGTAACAACAATGATGATGACAGGAGTGGATGACATGTTCTAGGAAGAACAAGGGGAATACCGAAGAGGCACATAGATCAAGCAAAACCTCAACTTAATATGACTTGTAGTTAACATGCCTGATGTTACTAAATTGCACAGAAATAAGCATAAGCAAATATTGATTTTGTAACCTACTAAATCCAGAAAATTGAGGGTCAGTGAAGAATGAAAACATGGTTGGAAGAACAGAATATGATTTAACATTCCTGTGAATATTTTTGGAATAATCATGCAGAAAGACTCACAAAACTGCAGTTCCTCATTCTCTTTCAGAGAACACCCTGAAATTAATACAGATATTGTGGTATTAGTACAACCACACCTAGGTTCTGGAAGCCAAGTCAAGACGGACTCTGGGGTGTGAGGGTTTCCTTTGAGTCAATGTTGAACAGGCTTTGCAATGGAATTTCTTCCCTAGAACCTTATTTCATAAAGGCTAAAAAATAAGACCACCATGGCAGCGACATTGCATCACACAGCTCTAGGAGGCACCATTTCATAGAATGCAGTGCTAATGTCCCGTCCCCAGTCACAAATCCCACCTTCTCTGAATTTACATAAGGGCATAAATGGAGTGGACTGATCAAGGCTCTTCTACTCTAAGACAGTTCTTTCACGTAGCCAGAAGAGTTTCCAGTTTTTGAGATTCACTTAAATCCTTCCTTGGGAGTTAAGGGAAAGTCTGACTAATTATTAATAACATTGTGTTAGCTAGTCTAATCACTTCCTCCCATATCTAAGTGATTCATAGGTAAGGAAGAATGGATGATGGAGATTTTTATAAATTTTGACTCTGTAGTTGGGATGAGGCCTAAGTTAATGCTGCCGTGGGTGCTCTGGCAGCTGAAATATGAAAAGGATGACAGGGTGTCTGCTGGAGGAAAAATAATGGTTAGGATTTAGACAGGGGGAAAATGGGGAGTTGAAAGAGAATAAAGAAAGGAGTCTAAGCAGGACCCCAAAACAACTTGCAAAATATGGCCTAGAAATAGCCCTGTCTGCTTGGTATGAGAGGCTCCTATTGAGATGAATGAGAGGAAATAATCTCTGAACCCACAAATACAACAGTCACAGGTCCCACAGCCACTGATACAACTGTCATTACCGTCTTGTCAGATTTCCATCCTCCACCGTCCTCCTTATGTCCTGCAGCAGGGCCCTGCTTCCCTCTCAATTTGTCTCCATTCTCAGTTCATCCACAAAAACCATTTAAGTCCAGGGCAACCCACATTCTCTCCCTCAGCGTGTCTAGAATACCAGCCCCTGTGTGGGTCAGAAGGAATGGGACTCTCAGTCAATCATTCTGCCAGATGAAAGGTAAGGAAGATGATCAGACATCCCCACAGAGAAGTCAAATACCACCTTCTCCATGAAATCCATTGTTTCTTTCTTTCTTTGAACTTCCCTCGTACTTATGTTCCCTTCATGACACATTTCAGTACCTACCTTATAATATCCCAGGTATCTGCACATCTCCGCATTACCGAACCCTTTGCCAGAAATGCCCAAATGGTTATTTCTGCAGTGACTTAGCTCTGGTATGATCTGATCTTTTCTTGCAGACTTTCTCTCTCTCCACCTCTCACTTCCACCTGAGTTTAATGCCATTGCTCTTCTCCCTACCTGGGCACAGCCCTAGTCTCAGTTAATTATTTATCGTTTCTCTATTGCCCTCACAAAACTCTGGGACACTTGGTAAACAAAGATTGTCACCAGTCTCCAAGATGGTGCCAGATCGAAGGGATATATGTATGTTTTCTGTTGATAGAAATCTTTAAGATGAGGTTTTGTGTCATTTTCCTCTATCTCCCCAGAGCAATATAGTGCTCTGCAAAATTAGAAATCCCCAAATATTTAACCATAGAAGAAAAATTATGAAATAGCATCAAGCGAATGACCTTGCCAAACAAAGTGCATGGGAAAAGAATAAAGAGAACAAGCGGAGTGGAGGAGTGTTAACAAAATGTGAGGATGGGGTCAGATGGAAAAGGAAGCCAGTGCTGGAGGAGAGACAGTGAGCAAATTAAGAGAAATAGCATTAACACTGTGGTAGGGAGAGAGATCCGCCTGATGGAAAGATCTGAGGAAGGAAAATCTTGAAAATGTTTTCTGCCGCCTGTCCCATGAAAACAGAGGTGGGGAAGCCAGATAAAAGTCTTTGTTGTAATCCAGCCTTTTGACAGTAGCACATCACTAGGAAAATTATGGTTTGATTGTGAAATACAGGAATGCAGCTTTTGATTTGATACTGAAATTTGTGCAGCTTCTGAGGAAGCAACATGTTGTATAAATGGTACAAGTTTGAGCTATGTAAATACTGTGGCTAGATGCTCTTGGCCAGAAGAGAGCAGCTTCATCCTGAGTGACTTCCCCCACCAATATTACAAACACACTGTCTTTAGATTTTGAATATGTTAAGAAATGGGGGAGATCAAACTTTGAATGCACTAAGAGAAGAACTCAGAGAAGAAAATATTTTTCTAGAAAAATATATTTTTCTTAATACATATTTCAAATTTTTATTTTATACTTATTGAAAACAAAACTCTTGCATTCTCAATTAGATAATGCATTACTCATGGAGGCACATAAAAAGTAAAAATAAGAGCAAAATACATTGGCTAAGCAATTCCTAAAACTTTTATATAAACATCTTCGTTAGTTATAACTGAAGAAACATAAAGTGCAAATGTTTAATGTATAAATTTGTTTGTTTTTAATATGTGTAAATGCCTATGAAACCATCACCACAATTAAGGTAATAGACATATCCACCATTCCCAAAAGTTTGCTCCTATCTAAAGTGATCCATACTTGTCTCTATCCTTTCCCTAAGCAATTACTGATCAGCTTTCTGTCAGCATACATTAGTTTGCATTTTTGAGAATATTATATAAATGAAATTATACAAAAATGCCTCTTCTCCCTCTTCCCCTCCTCTTCCTCCTCTTCCCTTTCTTCTTCTCTTTTTATTGGCTTCTTTCACTCAGCAGAATAAATTTGCAATTCATCCATGTGGGTTTATGCATCAATAGTCTGTTCTTTTTAATTGTTTATTTTTTCATTGAGTAAACTAAAATTTGTCTAACTAATCCACTGTTGATGGACGTATGGGTCTTCTCTTGAGAACAAAATACCTGCTCCACCACCACTTTCTGCCTGTTTTACTGGAAAATTATGAGTCTCTCTGATCCTTATTTTTTTCTCTATAAAAATATGGATTTAATGGCTATTTTATAGGATTTTTGTTAGATTCAATCATTGAACAGATGGCTTAGCACATAGTAGATACTAAGTATTAGCTTCTTTTCTAAGTTGTCATTTAATTGGCTTAATGGTATTTATTATAAAGTAACATTTTTTTCTCCTATCAAAATGCTTCCTTTTCTATTCATCTTAATGTCTGCCTGCTTGACCATTACAATGAATGATTCTAGCCTCATTGTCTGTCCAACAAACATCGGGGTAGCTATACCCTTCGGTCCTTAAAACATGATTCTTCTTTTGGGTTATATTCGCTCCCATAACAGACTAGTCACAGTATTGTTCAATGTACACACCTGCTCGGTTCCCCCCATAGGAGGTCTATTAGGTGAGACTTAGAGACAAGAATCAGTCAAGAAGAGGTGTTTTTATTGCAACCATTTTGTTTGCAATGAGATGTTGTGTTCACTTGAGGGACTTTTGGGGAGGGGCATTTGAAGAGGATTATGGATGAGGGGCTCAGTTAAAGCTCTCCCAGTTCACCCTCTGATGCTGCCACAGTTTAGTCCTTTTCGTTTTCTTCCTCCAAATTCTATTTTTCTCATTGCTGCTCCTTTAAAGTGTGCCCATACTAAATTTTCTTGCCTAAATTAGACTCCTTCTATTAAAATAAATGGTGCTGATTTTCTTTTTCTTCATATTCTTTATAAATATGATGTCCAACTAAGATAGCAAATCTAGTTCAGTTGGCAGATGGCAGTGGATGAAGGAATTTTAATTTCCCCCTGTGGATATTGTGAGTGGAGGTAGGGGCTCTGGGGTCTGTTTTGCTCTGACACCAATTTTACTCACTTAAATTTGACCTTATTCATAGAGATTTTTGTTCACCAAGAGAGGGTGCTAATGGCAGCATGTAGGGGTAAAGTGGGTAATAGACCAGTGAAGTTGTGGATAAAAAAGCATATATCCTAAAGACAATTGGTTGGCAACATCATTTCTATGTAAGAAAGATGGTATCTCATTGCCTCAAGGAGTTTCTTAATGGAATTAAGATATACACATCGATGGTTGTGCTACCTATAAACTTCTGAAGTCCTCTGTTATGTATAGTACTATCCACATATAAAGGTCCCAACTGACAAAATACTTACAAAGTCACTACTTTTTTCTTCACTACTCTCAGAGAGTTGAAGACTCTTGTTTATCAACTTTTAATATCCTAATGATTAATAGGGACACTCCATCAAAAGTTTTTCATGGGAAAGCATATGTTTAGAATAACACAATACATTTTATATTTTATCAGGATAGCACTATAATATGCAGAAATCTACAAATTCTGATACTTCTGTGGAAACACTGAATTCTACCCGCCACGGCACAGGAGCTGTGCAAATGAGAATCAAAAATGCCAACAGCCACCATGACAGGCTCAGCCAGAGTAAATCCATGATCCTCACCGATGTTGGGAAGGTCACTGAACCCGTAAGTCAAATACCCCAAATATCCCAAGTTTTCTGTCATGCAGAATTTTGTAAAAGAAAAAAAGCTAATTAGTCTTGTTGTATTTGTTTGCCTAACGTGCATGAGAAAACTGTTTTTGGAATGCATTTTATCTTGCCTACTTATAGTCATAATAATATCCCCAGTTGCAAGAGAAGAGCTGGGCTTAATCCAGAGTGATAAAGTGGATTTGGAGCTAGACTGAAGAGCACCTTTGACTCATTTTAAGGACCTCTACTATCATGCTTCAGTGTCATAAAAATAATGAGGTTATGCTAGCATGTGGTGTTTGTACTTCCAAATACAGTACATCACTTTGAAAAGCCAGAGGCTAAAATTAGCTAAGAATGAATTGAGAAAAAAAAACATTAAAAAAAAAAAACCTGAAAATCTCTTCCTTAAAATCTCCCAATAATATACATTACTGGAAAGTACGATTTGATTTGGAGTGGGCTTAAAGGATTGAAATGGTGTGGCTATTTAAGGTTTGGAGAGGAAGCCATTTTGTCTCGATAATGTGTCATTAGGAAGATTTGAAATAAAATAGTTAGAGATGAACTCTACTGCCAATTGTGTCGCTGGCCCTGCACGCATCCTGAGCCACTAAACCCACTGATTGCGATGGGTCTCCTCTGGTTAATTTTCTTCCATAATGGTGGTAACTTGCAGCTGAGGCCATAGGATGTTACAAAATTATTTATGCAATGTTAGCCACTCTTTTGGACCCCAGATCTATTTTGTTTCTCACAGTGAGAGCAAGAACGAGGAGAAATAGGTTAGCTGGGGACAGGCTGAGTTCCAGTCACCCTGAAGAAACATGTGAGCTATTAATTGAGTGTTCTGTTAATATCATAGGGGCCTATGAAATATTCAGCTTCCTAACTGAGTTATTAAATGAGATAAACTTGCTGAGTAGCATGTTACTGATTATATTTATTCCCCATTTTTCACTCAAAAAATTAACCCACAGCAATCTCAGGAGCTTGAGAAACGTGTGATTGTAATCATTCTTTCCTCAGGTGTTGTAGACAAATTTAGCATGAGGAAGTCAGCAATTACATTTGGGGAGTAAGAAGTACATCCTTAGATAAAGTAACTAATGAGATATGCATTTTCCTTTATTTACTTTCTCATTTAAAAGTATTGTCTCCTGGGAAGTACAATGCTGCCAGCCTGACTTTGCTTTTAAAGCAGCTAAAATGTTCATCAACTATGAACTTGAGACAGTGGTTAGAGTAAATTATTGGACTCTCTATAATGTATTATCGGTAAGAACTGTACCTTTGAAAAAGTTTAAAAGTTAAGTATATTTAATGATGCCTAACATATTTTATTGGCTGTGTTTAACAAAAGGCACTATGCCGCAGTTGTTTTTGACAAGCATGAAAACATCACAGCATGAGACTGCAAAAGGAATTATGGAGAGAAATTACAAGTGATCCATCTCTCAATGAATTATCCACCTCAATAGCCCGCAGAACTCAGCTACCAATTAACACCTACTTTATTACATGTTGGGATGTACTTAATAACTTTCATGTGTTTATGCACTATTACCTTGACTGATGCCTCTTGTACAATTAGGCATAATTGGCATATCAATATGCAAAAGTTAAAAGGATTAACCCTCTTAAAACTAATGAGCATTTCTGTATCCAGCTGCTAAATGAGACAAAATTAGCATTTTTCACTTTTGGGCAGGATTTTATCATGCAGTTTCTCATTGTTGATATTACCTTGTTACATAACTTTAGTTTGGGGGGTTGTATGCTGGACTGCTAGAGAATAAGAGTTTTCCAAAGTTAAATTAGCTATAATTATCCCAGCTTTTGTTTCCGCATTCTTAGCCTGGGCAATATGTATTCCTCGATAAGGAACAAAAATAAAAGTTACTTTTGGTTGTGTGTGCTCAGTGCATAATTATATAAAAGGGGTATTTTAGTGAGGATGTGTCATTTCACCGAGAAAACTTGGCTCAGAGATACTGTATTGAAAGCTTGCCATGGCACTAATTTTCTTTCTGTCTCAGTTCTTTTCATCTCTTTTTTCCATGCACAATTTTCTGACTAGATACTGACAGAATGTAAAGTATTTTGGCATATTTATTCAAACAAGCCTGTTAAAGTTATCTGCTCAAGCTAAACTAAGAACCTGATTTTTCAGAAGTTGGATGGTGGGGTGAGGTCAAGGGGGAGATGTTGAATTTAGCGGTGGGAAAAGATGGATACTAAACATGTGTGCAGAGATTCACATGCGGTAGGGTTTGTTTTAACAGAGGTATGTATATGTAGTCTTTGCAGAAAAAAATTAAAAGTAGAGATCATGCATATGTCATGTATCCTACTTAATGTATATGGCATATGCATACTACTTGTTCACTAGCATAACAATTATGCAAATCTCATATGACTTACTGGACTATATAATAACACAAGGATCTGCTATTACATTCATCGTGATTTAATTCATTACAAAAATGATAAAATATTCTAAGGTCAAATCAATTCTGTAATTTTCTCATGAATTCATAAATTCCTCTTTTAAATTTTGTTCAGTTAAAATGTTTTTAATATGACTCTTAACTTAGAACACAATACAAAATTTTCCTGTGTAGGTTGTCAAAGCTTTGATTCTTAGTGTCTTAAATCAAGGAATACTTTGATATGTCAATATAAATATTTATCCAACCCTAAGCTATGCAAACATAGGCAAATTTACTGATTAAGTTAGAAATTTTGATAACTTAAATGTTGCAGGGAAGCATTTCAGTAAAACAGGTGTGAATGCTCCGTTAGTATTTTATTGGTGGTGTGCATCTTTTTCTTTAGACATCAAATAATCATCTAAAATTTAGTTAATATAATCAACGCCTTTTCAAAATTCAAAGAGGTTACTTTTCTGACCTGGGAAATGTTGGAGAGGTGGGCAGTTTCGAGAGGCGGAGGTGGTTTGCAAGAAAATCACCCTCTTTAAGAGAGATCTGGAGAGCTCCCTTTGGTGGGGAAAGAACAGTCTTTGGTCGCAGTGATCTGTTGTCCTGTCCTGAGCACCAGAGTGAGACCTCTTAAAAGTAAACAGCTTATGAACCAGAATGTGTTAAACAGAAAATCAGACAGCTGAGTGCCAGTAGATGGGGGCAAGTGAACTGTGCCTGTTTAAGGTCTAAAAAGGCGAATGTGCAATCCAGCAAATAGCTATTGCAAAAGGTTTAATGTGGTTTTGATGTTATTTATGAGAGGGATGCTCCTGCCTAAGACACAGTTTAGAATAGATATTAATGAGAAGTTTAAGTAGCCAGAATCAGGAAACTGCAGACATATGACTTGCAGGCAAGAGTAGTTTCGACATTTAATGCGAGTGTCTTAAGCAACAACGTGTATGAATATTCACCGTTTCCATCTTGTAAACCCCACAGAAGGGCATTACTTCATTCATGGCCATCATGAACAGGAAAATATTTTTTTATTGGTGTTCAGATAAAGACTTAGGTGGAGCCATTTTTAAACATTAACCTACAAGATTCCTTTTACTTCCATTAGCAGACTATGTTCACTTTTTAAATATATTATCAGAAAAAAAAGAGGAAACAATTTTCTTTTGTTTCTTACTTCTGTGATTATAGGATACTTGCCAAAGTTGTGGCTAGCCAAAAGGCAGACATAAAAAATGCTACTAAAAATATAAACCTTCTGTTTAGTAGAGTTTTTAAGAAATATTATGAGATTGCAGGGCTTGTCCATGTTTACTTCAAATCAAGCATATAGTTAGGTATGAGGCTTTGTTTGTATAAATTGTCCTGAAGTGGATCCTGATATTTAATTAAAATGACACTAAATCACATTGAATTGATAAGACTTGGCATCTCAAACAAAGGTAATTGCCCGTATTGGTTTTGTGCAAAAATAGCGCTGCTTGGAAAATGTGCAGCCAACACAGACTGTCAACTCCATTTATAGATCAATATGTGAAAACCATTGATCAGGCAGGCATGTGTAACAGTAACACTTTGCATTTATTTGTTGTTTTTATACCACATTAAGGCTTACAGGATTATAGGATTCCTAAATATTTTGACTTCCTCATAAATATATGATCTGTTGCATGTTAATTAAATGAGAGTCTGCAGCCATTTCTAAAATTGTTTTTAGTTTGATGATTTCCTTTTATTGCTGTGGATCGTATGATCTGAAAATGGATTAGTTTCCTTCTGCATAAAGATTATTAAAGCTTATTTTAATGTGTCCTATTTAGTGTAAGATGTGACTGTCTTTTTGCTTTGAAAAATATAGATACAGACAATTATTTTCTCTTAGCGAGTGGCTGATCTTTTTTTATTAACCGGGCATTCTCAGTGCTCAGGGTAGAATTATTTCCTGACATATTTTGCACACCCTGTAGACAACGGGTCTTCTTGATTTCCCTGATAGAATTTGTTTTCTTTCTTTTCCTTTAATCTAGCCCTGTAGTACAGGCATCCGACCAAACATAATGTAGAAAATAAACTGATCATCTCAATTAAATTCTAGACACACACAAATATAATTTAAATTCTATTTTTCTGATTCAAGAACAAGCCTTATGAACTGTTCTTATACACTGAATTCTTCAGTTAAATCTTTCTTATCTCATCAATGTAAGGACAGTGTTTTGTTCCTAATCTTTATTGGACTATTGTGGATGACATTTGTAAGCCATTTTGGTTTACAAGGAAAAGCTGGAGGACAGTGGAGTGAGACTCTCCAAAGATCCAAGCCTCTGATATGACTACGCAATAATGTGTCTTTCACTGCAATTTTCTTTGCCACTGAGAGGGCAGTTTTGTTGAGATTTTTAAATATTTTCTATATACATTAGGAGTGTTGCTTTCGAGACAGTGCTTTCTATACAATATTAAAATAATAAGCAAGATGTTGGAAACAGCAACAAACAAGTAAGCATGAAATTCAAAGGTTTTCTAAGGCACTAGTCTGATATACTTTGCA